AAAAATAAACAAAATAGAGTTCTTGGGTCACTGAATGCCAAACATAATTATAACTATGTATGTTTTATAACTGCTTTTAATTTGTATCAGAATAAGTATGGGGATTGAAAATATACTGCTTTTATTCGCAGATAGAAGGTTTGAAATGTCTGTGTGTGTGTGTGTATGTGTGTGTGTGTAAAATGTTTAGGAAATGAGGTTATTAACTTACTTAAAAAGCAAGGTTTAGAAAAAAATGTTAAGAGTAACTTAGCTGTAAAATTTATTGTATACAGAATTCAGTTATAACGTACTGTATAATTGCTTTAACTGTTCTCTTTATTTAAAAAACACATTTTTTCTTGTTCCTGTACAATAACAACACATGTGTTCCACGCATTTCAATATAAATATGCAATTTTAAGCAGTTCTCTTCAAGTATCGATAAGAATTTATGTGTATCAATATCGTCTGACTGGGGACTTCTTAAATTAGTATGAAATTGTTGATATAGAGGTTCCCTCAGAACAAATAAAATGTGGTGTCAATGTACATTAAAAAGCCTACAGTTATATTACTTATTCATACATATGCTTTTCATTTTTCTATTACATTGCAGATAAATATGACATATCTTTAAAAAATTAATTGCCCTACATTTTCTTAAGTACATGTGCTCACAGCACCCTCTAGTGGGTGAGATAAAACAAAAAGAAAATGGAAAAAAAAAATCTGAAAAAAATTCACAGCACTCAGTGATTCCATTCATTCATCAGCAGACATTATTTACTCCATCCCTACTGTACAGAAAGCACTGTGACAGATGCTGTTCAGGACCTGGACAAGGAAATCAGGACAAAACAGGGGAACAGAAAGGTCTATCTGAACTACTTAAAATTGCATATTTATATTGAAATGCATGGAACACATGTGTTGTTATTGTATAGGAACAAGAAAAAAAATGTGTTTTTTAAATAAAAAGAACAGTTAAAGCAATTATACGGTACGTTATAACTAAATTCTGTATACAATAAATTTTACATGGGGGGAACAAGAGGGAATTAAATAGTAAAAGTAGAATTTAAAATGTAAATCTTTTTCATTCATAAGTATTGTATTTTATTGTATTGTACTATCTGTATTTTAAAGACTTTAGAATTGGCTTTACCATCACATTTATTTTTGAAACAAACTCATCAATGTAGATAAAATCAGGGAAAAGAATCAAAAATATATCTCCAATAATCAATTTTCTCCGATATGAAAGGCATGAACACATTCAAAAAAGGACAAACGTGTGCAGTTATCACCTTCCTTCACTCAGACTTTAACTTAATTTATTGATTTGAGTTGGGTGGGCTTATTTGTAACACAGTGTGCAAGCGGAAATGTTTCTTTCTCCAAGAATACTTATTTGCAAAGGGAAACTGGGCACTAAAATTCAGATCTAAAAAAACTGCAACTCACTTTCACTGTTCTCTTCCTATAAGCAGGCTGTATAACTGCTTAAAGTAGGCTGGAAGCTATCTCCAGTAAAGGAAATCATTTCTTCATACTGCTTAAGAGGATTGGCTCTGGAAACAGATGTCGTACATTTAAATACTGGCTTCACCCAAGTAGCTGTGAAATCTTGGGCTTAACCCCTGAGTGCCTCAGTTTTCTCATTCGTAAAACAGAAATGATGATAGCACCTATTGTACAAGCACTAAACACATATGAAGTGCTCAACAAATGTTATTATTATCATCATTATGATTAATGATACCATTCTTTGCTAGAAAAACACTTGCTAATATAAGATATAGGAAAATGAAAAAAATTGCTTAAAATGTTATTAATAAGCAAGAAATGCTGTGACTAAACAGTGTGCTTTTAGCTAGAACACTATCTCAAAAAAGAGTGGGCAAATTCTAATAAACTGTATGGTTACACACACAGACACATAATTTGTAAGGTATTTCAGAAGTGGATTAACAATTTCTTAAACTAATCAGTACAAAGTTACAGACTGGATTTTATCAAACCCAATTAACAAAACTTATCATTTAAGTTTACAAATATTGTATGCATCCTATGTCATTTTAAAAAAGTGTATCTTATAGAATCAAATTTTTCTTCCTTACTTCCATAATAAAATTGGGCACAGCTTTTAAGATATTCAGGAGAAGATATTCTTTAATTTAAAAAAGCTGTTCAAGCCATTATAATCTAATATATCTTCTAATAATTTATTTTAAATACACACTTTACAAATTAAAAGTTAAAGACAAAATAAATTTGGATTTAATTTCTAGATCTCAAATATTATCTCACATGTGATTTACTCTAAAATTTATAAAATACAAGAAAGCAAACATGCTTGCTACTCAACATTACCTTCAGAGATTTGGCCACTGGAACATGGTTATCATAGACTAAAATGTCTATTGTCAGATTCTGCAGCCGTTGGATGTGACTTAAATCACCTTCAAGAACAAAGTCTTGTATTAAGACTCTCCAAGATGGGAATGGGGTCCTGGTGCCATCCCATACCTGCAAGAGGTAGAGCAAAGTTTAGGATCTTTTTGGGAAACCAGGGAGGCTAAAAGAGTTTTATTTGCTGGTAATGTAACTTAAAAGTACTTAAATGTATTCCCCAAATATCTGGTAACCTTTAAATATGATGTATATTCTTTCCTGATTACAAAAGGACTATGTATGTATAGGTAATGAATAAAATTATAAGGAAAAAAATTCAAACTGCTATGAGTTTAGAAAAATATTAACATATTGTTGAATTTACTTTTATCTTTTTTCTTCTGTGTGTGTATAATACATGTCTTTTTTTTTTTTTCCACCAAACTGGCATTATATTGTGCTTTGAATTTCTCATTTTTGGACACTTTTTCAGGCAATTTAAATATTCTTCTAAAATAGAATTTTCAATGGCTTCACATTATTTTATGGCATAGATGCACACAAATTTATTAAACCAATCCCTTTATTGGCCATTTAAGTTGTTTCAAATTTTTTGCTATTTTAAATAACTTAGTAATTACCATCTTGTATATAAACCTTTATAAGTACCTTTGCTAATTTTCTTAAATACAAATTCCTAGCTTTTAGGGAACTAATCTAACCTTTGCATATTCTTCTACTTTGTTCTGATTTGGAAAAGGCCTTTGAAAGTACAGATATCGGTACTTTGTTTATGTTAGATGTTATGAACATGAATGACAATCACAGGTGCTGGAAAAGGAAGTTCAGGTATTTCTCACATGAAATCTTGTTTTACATTCATCAAGACTTTGAAAGATCTTTTGTTCAATTATATATTCTATTTATTCATGACATGTAAAAAAGCTGTATTTAACTAATATTTTAAACCAGTTATATCACTCATTGAATAATTTTATTAATCCAAATGGCTTTTTAGTTAATCGTTGGGGCTTTTGTATGTGATGAGTACTGATGTTTATCTTTCTTTTAAAAGAGTTAAATCTCTCACTTCTTTTCCTTATTTTAGTGAATTTCCTGAACAACATTATATAACAGAGAAAATAGTAGAAATATTTTTTTCTTGTTCCTGGCATTACTGACTCCAGAATTCCAACACTAAATATTTGTTTGTGTACCTTACAATAGAAATTGTTTACTATGTTAAGGAGGCATACTTCTAATTTTGTTTTGCTAAACATTTTCATAAATATTTTTAACATCCATGGAAATGACTACATAATTTTTAATATTAGTGGAGATGACTAGAATTTTCCTGAAATTAAGCTATTCTGAATTTTCCTGAAATTAAGCTATTTGTAAAATCAAACTGTGCTGGGTTATAATATATATATCCCCCACATATGTAAATATATCTCTGTATCATTCCTAATTCAGAAAAATTTTTCTTGTCTTTTTAAAAATCAGAATAAAACTTTGTTTTTTAAACCTTTGAACTTATTTATCAAGTCTATCTTTTTCTACTTTTTAAAAAAACCATTAAGTATATAAATTCCTACATACCTTACTGTTAGGAAACAGATACTTTCATACATGGCTAGGAGCTGTTTAAAGAAGCATTAACCTCCATGGAGGGTAATTTAGCAAGAGCTATCAAAATTTCAAATGCACATACTCGAATCAGCAACTCTATTTGTAGCAATTTATCTTCACAGCTCTATGAGCACATATGTGAAATGACGAATGTTTAAGTCAATCTTCTAAATGCAAGAACAAGATGCAAGATACAGTAAACTATGCTACACCTCCATATGACAAAAAAAAAAAAAAACAGCTGAGCAGTGTTCCCCTCCTAATTCAAGACCATCTGGAACTTGTGAATGCATTGGAAACAGTGTCTCTGCAGATGTTATTAGTTAAGATGGGGTTACAGTGGATTATGATGTGCCCTGAATCCAACACAACTGGTGTCCTCACAAGAGGAAAATTTGGACTTAAAGACACAAAGAGAAGAAGGTCATTTGACAACAGGGACTGAAGTGATGCACTGGGTAAGCCAAAGAATGCCAAGGATTGCCAACAACCACCAGAAGCTAGGAGGAGGGAAGGAAGGATTCTTCCTGAGAAGCTTTGGAGGGAGCATGGTCCTGACAACACCTTGATTAACTGTGAGCTTTCAGAAGTGAGAAGAATACATTTATGTTATTTGAAGCCACCCAGTTTGTGGTAATTTGTGATGGCAGCCCTAGGAAACATGTGAGGAACTTTTTAGGTGGTGTTGTAGAAAAATCTCTATGATAAAATTAAGTAAAAACAAGCAACTGCAGAGTAATGTATGTAATATGCTATCATGTGTACACAAGAAGAGACAAAAGAATATGTACTGTATATGAACTAAAATAGGTCTGACAAGATACTCAAGAAATTTGCTTCAGTGAGAGATGTTGAGATGGAGAGACCAACAAGATGGGGACAAGACAGGAAGTTGAGGTGAGAAACTTTTCACTACATAGCATTTCAAAGTATCTTTTAAATTTTTGGACAATGTTAAGATTACCTATCCAAAAATTAAATACCTTATTAAATATTACCTCCTACTTTCTATAGTTTTGTTTGTTACTTTTTCAACTTCTTGAGTGGAGAGCTCATTCTGATATGCTATGTTTTTTTTTCTTTCTTTGTTCATGAATACTTACATTAAGGCTCTGAATTTTGTTTTTGAATATATCTCTTTACCCTTACTAACATTATATTCTCAATAACCTATAATTATAATTAATTTCTCTTTGAAAGAACAGTTTCTGGTGAGATAGTGTCTTTTTTAACACCTGAATATTTGGTTTGGGTTTGTAACCGATGTTTGAATTTACATACTTTTACTGATTCTAATCAAAACAATGTGTTCTTTAACGTCTCTTTTTTGAGAATAAATATTTGCAGTAATTTTGTTACGGTAAAATTATTATTTTAAGAGTCAAATTTTTTGTTGTTGTTGAATTACAAATATCCTCATAGTGAGTTCTATTACATTTGAGTTTGAAAAATACACAATTACCAATAAAATAAGTTTTAAATTTTAAACCAACAGTTATATCATAATGTGTTAACAATACTCGCAAAAGGAATCTAACTGGCTGATTTGTAGAAGTGTTTTAAACTGATTTCTAACTCTTGAGTCAACTGTTATAAACAATAAAAAAAAAAAGGTCTTGACAAAAACTCCTACACTTTAAAATAGGGTCTTTTGTATATAAATAGGCATAGTAATATTATGGATATTTTAAAAAATTAAGATAATAGTGATGTATTTCTTGGGCATTAATTGGATTTTTTATGAGATTAAGCCTTATTGTTAGATTAATTATATAGCATTCCTCTGCTATTTCTATACAAATAATTAAGTTGTAAAAATCAGAACAGTCTGTTAAAAATATGGTGATTTTCTAGTTTATGTTTTGTTTTTTTTTGATCTCCAAACCATCTTACAGAATAGGTATACAAACTTTCTACCAGCTCTGGCTGCCAAAGATTTCCACCTGTTTACAAGCAAATAAACAATTTTGGAATTTGTTTTACAAATCAGCCAGTTAGATTCCTATTGCCAGTATCTGTTGACAACTTGACTTCCCAGAGAATATATGGCTAAAGCACTGCTATATATTCCTCTCAATATATTTTTTGCTATGCATATAATACATTTTTAATATATAAATGAAGCTGCATTAATTACGAAACAGAAGAACACAAATTTCTATATCAGGAAGTACGTGTCTACAATGTCATTCTATAGTCACATAGTATCTATAATACATAAATACTTCACAAATTTTTCTATTGTTAGTACCTGAGTTTTGCCTTAATTTTTTTTTTTTTTTAATGGAGGTACTGGGGATTGAACCCAGGGCACTTGTCTATGCTAGGCATGTGTTCTACCACTGAGCTATACCCACCCCACTTGTCTGATTTTTGTTACTGTAAGAAATAGAAGGATAAATAGTCTTTTAAAGGCATTTTCCCACATTTTAAGTTACTGTAAAATAAATTCATGAAAATAGAATTATTGAGTTAAAAAGTTGAAAACAGCACATGTTTATTTACAGGTGAAATATTCTGAAAAAGTAAATGCATGCTATAAAAAAAGTTAGGTAAGTCAGGTAGGACAAAGCTGAAGCTAAAGCATAAAATCATCCAAACGAAGAAGGAATCTCAGGTCAGATTTATTTCAAATTGTCCTCAAGAATATCTTACTAACGTAATTTCTTACATTCATTTCTAAATGCAGTATTTTAAAAATAACATCTACATGAAAGCTGTTTTTATTTAACCGAAAAAGGCTATCTATAAAAATAGAATGAAGGCATGTTTTGTTGCTTTAGAGAGAAAATGTAGATTCAGTCATGTCAGCTAAAAGATGGCAGGCTTTAAACTCAGAATTTAAGAATGCTCTAACAACACAGCAGCCAAAAGATGGAGAATACTTCTCTGCACAGCAGATTCCTTGTCACTGGATGTGTTCAATGATTACCAAATGCTTATTTGCTTGATGTCACTCTGGGCATAAAGTATGACTGGCTGACCTGAGATTCCTTCTTATTTTGTTTGGATGATTTTATGCTGTAGCTTCAGCTTTGTCATACCTGACTTATTTAACTTTCTTTACAGCATGCATTTACTTTTTGAGAGTATTTCACCTGTAAATAAACATGTGCTATTTTCAACGTCAAAAGCTTCATATTCAATGATTTCTATCTTCAATATTCCTTAATATGGGCAAGGTGAAACTGGTAATGCTAAACTGTAAACCAAGGGCCACTGTCCTTCATTCCCTGTTTTATTGTTTCAAAGAGTCAAAAGCTAAAGAAATAACTGCAGGGGCAGGGCTGAAGCAGTGTTTGTTTACACGGATCCTGCCTAGGCTGGGTGGGTGAGGACAGCATCAGACAACTGTCTTCTCCAGAAGCCACTCATGAGTAAATTGGGATAGGTGTAAACGAAGATTAGATGGGTCTTATGTTACCTTTTTTTTCTTAATCCTGTAGACTTAAAAACAAAACAAAATATTAAAAACAATAAACACTTCAAACGACCCATGATCTGCCCATGAAGCAATGGAAAGACATGGGAAGAGAACCTAACACCAATGAGCCAAAAAGTACAAATGAGTGAAAAGGCTATACCTTGACAGGGAAACAGAAATATGCATGGGTAGAACTGCAACGAAAAAAGAGCAACAGAAAAGAACTCCATATTTTATTAGTACTAAAATAAATACATAAATAAATACAGCATAAATTATACTGTATTTAAAACACAGATCTGGTAATACTATTTTTCTCTGGAAGCATACAATAAAAAAGAGAAGTTCAGGAGTAAAGCTGCATGAAGATACAGGCTCATCAAAAATGGTCTGTTACTTTTTAAGTTCCTAACACACAGTAGGCATATTTATTCCATTAGAATGGTGAAATACAAGCTCTTTAAAGACAAGTAGGTGGTACTAACATATACAATTACAAGTATTTAAAAATACCTACCTTTAGAAGAAATGATGCTCCATCCACCTGTGCTTTGCCCAAGAGCTGACAAGTCAGGTCAAAATACTGCATTGGCTGAACATCACACAATTTCACTAACGTTGAAGAAGGTGAAATATGAGTAGATGCCCAAACACGTAAGGCTTCCACCATTTTTTCGTCCTCAGCAGTGAAATTAAAACACTTGCTTGAAGTACGAGGTATGATAGGAGCTCCCAGAGTTCCCTCAAATGTCAAAGATGCAAAGCCAGAGCTGGCAATACCTTGAGTCTCGTTTTTATATACTTGGATCTAAGAAAGTGGCAAAGTACAAAACAAAACAGAAACAAACAGAACAGAATCTAGGAACTGGAGATACTTGAGAGATTATAAAATCTTGCCAGCATAGTTAATAGAGGACATAATTATTTAAATATTTGATTTAATAAGTATATGAAATTATAAAATCTACTGGACACATGAAGATCCACAAGCATCATGTAAACTGTAAAACACTATGCAAAATTTATTCTTATTTTTTAAAGAGGTATGCGGTAGACTCCCTAATACTATCAAGCTTGTACTTTTACTAACAAAACATTTTTTAGTTTTACTATTAAGGTATAATTTACACAAGGAAACAGGATAATAAGTAAGTTACTTGTGAATGTTATAGGGAAAACTAGTACACATAAATACAAGAGTTTTAAGTGAATAAAATGCTGCTGAGACTAAAGTTTCATCAGTCCGACAGAGCTAAGACGTGCCCTAAAGATACTGGCTTTCTGAATTTTGAGGCTCAGTTATTAGATTCACGTGCATTTATGACTGATACATCTTCATAAAGCAACCCTTTGGACTTACAAAATGTCCTTTTTAATCTCTTGTAATACTGTCTCATTAATAACTGTATTTATGTATTTATTAGAAATTAGAAAATATATTGAACTGAAGGATACTTAAGTTGTGATGTGTTTAAACGTATTGGACGTAACTAAAGTATCACAAAGAGAAAACTTTCTAGGCATAACTGAGCATCTTACAAAAGAAGAAAGGTTGGAAATCAGAAATTTAGGCTTCTATCACAAGAAGCTGCACAAGGAATATTATCTCAAACCCCAGGAAAGCAGAAGTAAAACATAATCAAGGTAAGAAAAACAGAAACATACAATAGAGAAAATCAAAGTGAGAAGCTGATTCTTTGAGGAGACTAATAAAAATAATAAGCCTAGAAAGATCAATCTGGAAAAAATGAGAAGAAACATAAAGTATAGTATCAAGCCTGAAAAAAAGGACTTACCAATACAAATCCCACAAACATCTAAAAGATAAGTAACATTATGACCAACTTTATATCAATAAATTTGACAATTTGGATGTAACAGGCAAACTTTTCTAAAAATTAAATATATCGTAAATTAAACATAAGAGAAAATTTGAGTAATCTCATTCCTCTTAAAGAAATGTAAATTCATTAATAAAACCTACAATAAAGAAACCACCAGGCTCAGATAGCTTTATCAGTGCACTGCCCCAAGCATTTAAGTAAGAAAAAACCACTAAGCTTGCATAAACTCTTCCAGAATCAAAAAAGAGGGCACCCTTCCAGTTTTTATGAGGCAGCATAGTTTTAATTTCAAAATCTGTCAAGGACATTACAAGAAAAGAAAATTACAGCTCTAAATATAAAACAGGAAAATAATAAATGGCTTAAAGGAAAACTTAGCTATATTCATAAACTGGAGTAGACAAAGAGTTTCAGGACATAAAAAGTACTGACAATTCCGAGTCGGGATACAAAGGGAGTTTCTAGAGTTCTAGTTACATGAACATGCTAATACTGTGAGAAGAGAGATGTATATTCTACTTAAAATAAACAACAGCAAGAATGACTACTACAAATACAGTTGGCCCTTGAACACTGGGATTGGGAGCAACCACCATCCACACAGTTGAAAATCCCCTTAAAACTTATGGTGGGCCCTCTGTATCCTCAGTGTCACATCTTTGGATTCACCTAACTGTGGGATCCTGCAATACTGTAGTGTTTGCTATTGAGAAGAATTTGCATGTAAGTGGCCCCGTGCAGTTCAAACCCGTGTTGTTCAAGGGTCAACTGTACTATAGGAAACAGCAGTGTGTGAGAAATAAACTATTTTTTTTTAAGTTTGGATAAGCCTGTAATATAGTGCCACAATGATAATATTTCTATTTCTCTTTTCAGAAAATGTTCTCCACCATTCTTTAACTCTAAGGGAAAAGGCACTAATAGAGCGAGCGAGGTAATTCCCACCATATCTAAGACTAGAGCACACCTGGACACCACACTCAATTATGAGCATCAGTGACTGTGAGGGCCACAGATGAACTAAAGCAACAGAAGAAAAGACAGAAAAGATAGTGACGAGGTTGCATGGAAACCTATGTAACAAGAGCAAAATATGAAGGGACCGAAATGTTTAAAATCAAGACTGAAAACATTACAGTATAGAAAAACTGATTTTTAAAAAATCACATACTATCTAATATGTTCCACCTTCCTATTAAATGTTTTCTTGCAGAATGCAAATAGCCTAAGTCATGGCATCTAACACATTTCTGTGGAAGGAGGTAAGGTAGTTTGTTCTAATATGAATCATTTGAAGTCTGATACTGCTTACATTTCCTCTTATCTCTTGAAATGCCTGATGTCGTGTTCTAACAAAGCAACCACAGAATTAGTGCTAACTAGTTTTAGTGAACAATACAGAGTTCTCTTCATACAAACATAAATTCTAGACAGTATGAATTATACCTTCAGCCTGTGAAAGCGAACAATATCTCCATTTTTATAAATAATTGGAAGGGCTTCATAATTTCCACTAAAGAACAGGCAGGTTAACTTTACATTTGTCTGGTCCACAATTGTTACAACCGAGCAATAATCTGGAAAACACAAAAACATTTTACCTGACTTTTTGTATTTCAAAGCATTTGACAAAATGAGAATATGCTGAGTTCAAAACATCAAACAAACTCTATTCTTCCCTCTAATGAAATCTAAGAATAGGATCAAAACAAAGAAATTTTATTTCTCAAAAATCACTGTCAAATTATTTTGCACAGGTGTTCTAAAGAAATTAATTTTAGAAAGTTTAATCAAACAAAAATAAAAACATTAATATAAATTGTCTGGAGGTGTAATAACTTATTACTCAAAGTTGAGAAATCATAAGGCAGAGAAACATATTCAATAACAATTTACAAAATAAACATAATTAACTTGAGAATGACAACAAAAGACTAGAAGACATTTGCAGCAAATGTGATAAAGAGTTAATACATTGCAAAAAGAGCCTATGAAAATTGGTTATAAAACCCAGGATTTTACAGTAAATATAAAATTCAAAAGAACAATTCATAGAAAACTATATAATAATAACAAACTAAAAGGGAAAATGATGATTTGCTAGTTGTCTATAAAGGTTACACATTAGAACAAAAGTATTTTATACAACTTAAACTGGTTAAAAAAAAACCCACCACCAAATTTAATGATAGTTGGGTTGCCATGAAAACAGTAACTTCAAACAGTGGTAGCAGCAAAAACTATAATAGATGCTACCTTTTAATATACATGTTTCAGAAAACTGCACACTTGAGAAAATTTGTTGACTTCCTTCTTTCCCAGGACCATAGTAATGACAATTTAGATAGAAAAGGATAAACCCAGAACAGTGAAGGCAGAAGACAGAAGAGGGGAGTGAAGGAGAGGGTGAGAAGATATTAATGTAGTTCAGGAAGCTGGGAAAGTAAATGGTTAAGGGACAAAATGAGCAGAGGAGGCTGCATCTAGAAGATACCATAAAGTGGTTACAGCAAAGATGGGGGCCACTGGGATTAAAGGTGGAAGTGAAAAATAGAGCGAAAATCAGGGCTAATCAAAAGTTTACACAGAGAACAACTGTTTCAATGACCACCCATCCTAATCCCTACTCCCCGTGAAAATGACTTCAGGTAGGCAGGCAGGGTATCTTAGTCTATAAACCCACCCCTCCCTAGAACACAGGCTGTTTTCCAAGGAAGTTTCACTGACAGACCAGAAAGTGGTAAAGCTTCTGATGTGGGTGTTAGCATCCAGAATAAATCCCTCTACATTATCACATCAGGGGGTCTACAGCTAGATAAGAGACTCTCTTCCCACCTACCCTAGACTGACATTTTCAGTCATGGTGCCCTAAATAAGTACTATTTGTCTCTGTCAGATTTCCCATTTCAAAAAAGAGAGCAAGTTGAAAAAACAAACTACTTATATACAAAGCAAAGGAAACAAATGTCTGCAATCTAAAATAAACCATATCTACATTTGTAAATGTAAAGACAGTAAACCATTACCAGACACAGAACAAAAATGGAAGCAGGGAGGGAAGGAGGGATACTGGGAAGGGGAGGGGAGGAGGTGGAGGGGAAGAGAGGAAAAGTGGAGGGACAGGGGGAAGGAATTGGGGGGGAGAAGAATGGAGGGCAAGAGGAAGAGAAACCTGATTCTGTGAGGAGGGGACAATAATTCAGAGAGCATAAAAAACTTGAAAAACAAAACGTTCATAAGCATCTTCGAAAAGAGTAAAAAGATACTACATCCTTGTCTCTTGATATACAGGATCTACTGGACCCAATTTTAGTTTTTGAGTTTCCTTTCTCAGTAGTTCTATTTGTAAGGAGTGTGATTTCATGATAATTTTTTCTTTCTTAGCAGGCTTCCCAAGATTAAAGATAAATTGTACTTATTTTTTAATGGAATAAAACACATTTTTGTTTGTGATTATCATATGGCTCTATTGCATCCCCTTTTATACATCTAAGACACATCATGGAATCTCAGTCATCTATTTTCCTATCTTGAAATATTCTATTTCCTTATCCTATTAACTCTTTCATCATTATTCCAATCTACGCTAAAAAAGACTAAATTATTTTTTAAACAGGAAATCGAATGATTTGCCTAGAAGAATGATACAAGAGTGAAATGAATCATCCCAGTTGCACTGCATTGCTTAATGTGTTACATCACCTTTTAAGAAGATACAGAGTTTGGAAACTATTTTTGGAGTTTCTTCTTCAGCTCTAAGAATTTAGTTAAGAATTCAGAGCTGAAAAATTTTTGCCAATAGTCACAGAGAAGAAAATTGAGAGAGGAAGTCCTTTAAGCATTATTAGATAAATCAGAAGCTGAATGCAAAGACAGGTAGCAGCACGTTAGATTCTAAGGCTAACGATGAGTGTACTTTGAACAAAACACAAATGCTCTGAAAGTTTTACGTTTCATATAATTTCATGACAGACAAAACATTAGTCTAATGAAATCCAATTCAGGTATACACCAACAAACGTGGTGTTTTTACATGTTTTGTTTCCTGACAGCTTCTGCAAAATCACGTATCACAGATTTATTTGTAATAGAATACACAAATGCACATTTCATATTTATATCAGAGAGCTATTTAGTACTTATATTTATAGCTTAAGTTGCAGTAACTCTTGATTACTCCTCTCACTCTGAATGCTTCACAATGAGCCTCTTTTGTAAACTGGGGATATAATACAGAACTACAGAACAGCACATTTAGCAGGCATAAATAATAACAGTTGAATTGACAGAGGCCAGTCTTTGTAGCACATACATGATATTAAAGAATGGAACAACTGAAAACATGGGGTTTTGGTTAAAAAAAAAACAGGTTTAACCTAAATTTCAAAATACTGAAAACTGTCTCACTGTTTTGTTTTTCCTGGAAAATGCCAGCCTTCCAAAAAATGACAAAGAGAGGGAGAGAGTTGGGAGGTGGTGGGGAGAGGAGGAGGAGAGAAGGGGAGGGGGGGAAGAGAGAGAGAATTGCCCAAAGAGCAAGACAACAGGTGTGTGCCAGGGTGTGTGTGTGTGTCTGTGCTCAAAATTCTGGACGGGCTAAAGGAATGGCTCTACGTGCTGGTGTAGATTATGGAGAAGAGGGCACCCTCCAGCTGCATCACGATAGCCTGAAACTCTGCGTATTTGTGTTTTCATCTAAGTGACTCCATATGAATGAAAATGGCATCTCCTTAATGGTGCACACTTGTGCACTGCACATCTGAACTATCATATGCTGAAGTCCCTGTTTTCTTCCCTTCTTTCTCATTCATGGCTTGTATTTTCTCTTTTGGAAGTACTACCTGTGACTTTAGCAAATGTAAGCCAAAGAGACTCACCTGGTCTCAAAATCTTTAATGAAGTTAAGATTTTATTAACAAAGAAGGAAAAAAGAGGACCTTTCCATAGAGCAAGAGCTTCCTTGAAAGCAAAAAACATCTATACTGCATACATACATAAAGTGATAAATGAGAATTTGTAGGCATGCAAGACTTACTACCATAAGGATCTTGACAGTGGTGGGGCGGGCGGGTGGATGTTATACAGCAGCAGAATCACCACAGACACTAACTACAGGTGATGACCAAGCTCACACAGCTTGGGTAAACCACTCTAGAATTTAAACCTTAGAAATCCCCACCACCACCTGAGCATGCTGAATACCTCAGCACTGGTATTTCGTTTTTTAGCAGCAACAAACCCTACTAAGTCTTTGCTTTACAGTTTTCCAATCCAATTTTTAAAAAATTAGTATATAAATTAATCTAAAATTTATCAAGTGTCTACTTAGTGCTAGGTGTACTGCTACTCAGTGAGAATATTAAACAAACAAGGCATGACACCTTCTCTTATGAAGTTTACATTTTCCTTATACTGATTTGCATTCTAAAAAAGTAATGCTATAATCTCAGCTTGTGTATTATTTTATATGTCAACATTTTCTAGTACATAGTTTATACTCCCTGTATATGTAATGATTTCATCACTATAAAGGCAGAATTAATGATGCACACGACATTTTCTAGGATAACTGGAAATTGACATTTAAGCTTGACACTGGATAAACAGAAAGCCTTAAGACAATCCTGGATTCTTGGTGAGCATTACAGTAAGCATTCACATTTAAGAAAAGTGGTAAAAATAAAGGTTAATAAATTTCATACTCAACCTTGTAGTTCAAAACACAACAGACCTTAAATTAAATTTCAAAACATGACTGAAGTTTCACCAGAGTCTGAAATTATGTTTAATGTTAAAGAATATTAGATTCTGATAAAAGATATTTATAGTCCTAAATGTAGTTTGGGGTTATCAAATAATAATTAATAATGTGCAAAATAAAATGCCAATATTTCTAATTAATTTGTAGGAATGGAGAAATGCACTTTACTTCTCAGACAGAAAATAAAACAAAAATACAGTGTTAAGCAAAGTATCCTGTTCCCAGGCCTATAACTGGGGGGAAAATTACAAGATCTAGTGGTCAACAATTACTTAGGTCTTACTATATTCCAGGTAGTGTACCAAGCAATTTATACATACTACCTCCCTGAATTCTTAGACAGTTGTATGTAGCAGTTTACAAACAAGAGAAGGTGGTTTCTTAACAAGGCTAGGTAAGATATCCATGTGTGAACGTCCTGTAAGTCACATATAACTCAGCATATCTGATTCCTATGTTTCTATATTTAACCAAAACACTGCACTATCTCCATATTGCATGTTTTTTAAAACATAAACAATAATCCCAAAGAAAGTAAAATATGCTTAAAACTGACGGATGGAGGCTTCAGAGATTTTCTAAGTAGGTGAAATTACACTGTATCTTAACTCTATACTATTTACTATTTCATGCATTTGTCTTGAAACATACTAAAGAAGAGTTCATTGCTGAAGAATTAACATATCATCATAATGAAAATTCACATATAAATTTACTCCAGAAACAGATCCTACAAACATCATCAGAGGAAGATTCTACAATAATGCATTCTTATGATGCTTGTATGTATTTTTATGTTCTTTGTAATAACTATATTTTGACTCATACAACTGAAAGAAG